TTCATTTATGGATTTCGATGCAGGCTCATAAGATAACCCAAACACAAGATAAAGTAAATGTAATTGCCTTGAAAGACGAAGAACCATCAGATATTCCTCATCATATATCCTCAAAATATATTCAATTTAGATAAAACATTTCATGATAAAAAAAACACTTCACGTTTTTACTAAAGTACTAACTGTCTAAGTTTTTATTATTTTATGGGCTACTACATGGCTATTTCTTGTTATGTCGAGATTTTGCAGCCTACCTGTTGTTCTCCCATCTTTACGGTTCTTTCGTCCAAGTTGTCCCTGAGAGTTGTTTCCACATGACAACACGCCGCCCTCCCCGTTGAGCAGTAAAGTGTGCTGGTCCCCGCAGCAGATGTCAGTGATAACCCCGGGGACAGACCAGGACACCGGGCTGAGGGCTGTCTGTGGACCGAACTGTCCACTGGAGCTGTCTCCCCAACAGTACAGCTGCACCATCATGTAGTCTCAACCTGTACTCTGTCTGCAGCATTTGCGCCTGCAATTTATCCCCTCTGATGTTACCTTCAATTGCTGTCGGAGGTATCAGCATCACAATAGTAAATATGCATTTTTGCTTCTCTTTCTGCGGGTGTTGCATATTAAGTACTAGGCTTGCTTAAAAAGTCTAGCACGTTAACTAAGTTTGTAACTAGCTTCAATTTGTCATTTATTTTCCAACAAAGCAAGCAAAAGACAATCTAATAGAAACAATGATGTAAGTTATCTAATTTACGAGCCTGCCAATAAGACAGGAAGGCAGCATGAGAGACACCAGTTACCAGAAGAGATCTCTTATCTTTTAAAAGTCATGTTGACCGAAATGCTGAAACATAATGTAGCAAAATATAACTAGGTATATCTGCAAAAGAAACAAGTGGATTTTTTATGTTTAGGGTGTTCCGACCAAATTTAATAGGTTCTTGTGTTGTTTTTTGTCTGACATAAATGGCAGAAATTCTTACAAAAACTAAAATGTGGACCTTTTAAATACAGAAACAGATATATAAACAAGGCATTCATTAAACATTGTATTATTACATAGATATTTGTCAAAATTATAGTCGATGTGAATTAAACTGACTCCTGTTTGGTTTGGTTTCACAGAAATGAAATTAAACTTAAATGTTGGGTGAGGTCATCATTATTGGCTCAGACCAGCTGAAACTGAAACAATGCTGCCAAGCTTCCCCAGAAGGGTAGAACCTGTACTTTTTTTATTTATAAATACAAGTATACACATATAAACACAATCAGTTTGTTTGCCATTACATTAGTATTATAAATACATTGATTAAAAAACACAGAGAGTGAAGAAATCCACATTCCACAAAGGCCAAATGTTTTATATTTCAATCTTAAACTTTTTTTTAAATTGCTTCTTCTTTGGCCCATGCTTCACCCAAGTTTCATGAAAATTGAGTTTGTTCAGTACTGCTGAAAAACAAACAAACAGAACCAAAACAAAACATCTTTACAAAGCTATTCATCTTAAGACCAAATAAGTCTTTGATACTGGAGAGTTTTTGTTTTATTCTTATCTAAAAACAGAGGGATGATAGCTCATATATGAGAATTCAATGGTCTTTTATTTTGAAACTCTACATCAGATTGTCCTGGTTGTATCTGAGTGACTAGATGGGGTGTCCTGCTATCACCCTGAAGTGAAATAAGTCTTTGATACTGGAGAGTTTTTGTTTTATTCTTATCTTAAAACAGCGGGACGATAGCTCATATGAGACTTCAAAGGTCTTTTATTTTGAAACTCTACATCAGATTATCCTGATATTCTCTAATGGTGCATTTCCACTAAAGCGCGGAGCGCATTTTAAGCGTTTTTGGTTGTGTTTCCACTAGGCGTAGTTCCGGCTAGCTGGTACTTTTCACAGTTTTTCTGGCTCTCCAAAATCGAGGTTCTTTC